GCGTTCGCGCTTTTCTGGCGCCAGTAGCAAATGTTGAAATTGCCTTCAAACCAGTCACTTTGCGGTTTTAGTGAAGACGTACACTTCCCACATCCGTTCTGTCTCAAAAGGCTTTCAGATTAGACTGTGTAATTTCTTGCAGTGGACCGAGCGTACAACGACGCGCTGACTCCTCGATAAGATCAGATGTTAGATAAATGGGGAGGGGCTCCTGAACGGACAAACATGTACGCATTCAAACTCGATCAACCTATGCTTCCATGGGGTATCAATATAATTAGTTAATGAATAGGCGTCTTTCTATCAGAGGTTCATGTAGGCAGATCTGAGCTAGTCCAATTTCAGGAGAATAACACTTAAGGAGCACTTTGGTCTAGCCACAGGTAAGAAATTACTGCCATTATGCGGCGACCACTTGCACATATAAGGTCCCATTATGGGTGGCCTTAATATCATCAAGCGTTTCAGGCCGTGATCGACGAAACCCGAGGTTTGAACCAGTCTTGAAAACAATTGCTGTTTTAATACTTCACAAGTACACAACATCGACTGGGTGCTTCCTGTGTCAACATACGCAAGCCTACATAATAAGAATATTCGGTCGCTCCCTTATGCAAATGAAAATTTTATCAGACATCTATCTTTTGTAGATCAGGACTAGAACGTTTTCGTTTTTATAAAGTCACCATAAGCCATGAGAGGTACAGGAACAAAAGACGGATTTACGACAAACTGTCTTAATTGCCCTAGAGTAGACGGCATTAGTCCAATATACTGTTATTCCAGACTAGTGAGTGCGCCATCTGTAGTGCATTTTTATAAGCTGCAGTTTTTCCCTTTTCGCAGATGTTAGTATGAAGAATTGTCTGGCGTGAATTTCAATTAAGGTTGAAACAATATCATTTATAGATAATTTAAAATATTTAAAGGACGCGAGTTCTACCTGCGGGCTATCATAATCCCTGAGGAATAACTCTGTGCATGGTTCAACGTTTAAAGAGACAGGAAAAATGGCTTGGCATGAATTTCTGTTAAGATTGAGATACAATGACTTATGGATATTTTATAATATTTGACCAGCGTCCTTGTTCAAGACTAGTTTTCTGACAAACAACATAGATATTTTTCTTCCTAGTAAGAGCGCCTCACCGCCGTCAAGGCAGTTCTTGGGATGGGAGGCTTAGGATGCAATGGGTGAGCAGTTATCGGCGAAATGCATACGGCATTTGTGCACAGTGTCTGGCATAAGAGTGTTTTAAGCAAACAAGCGTTTCAATAGCAGAATACACACTGAGAAATGCCATAATTACCGGGATAGGAGACAGCCAAAAACTGGATAAAATATTCAGGGATTTGCTTTCTTGCAAGACCTATGATAAATAACGTGACTCAGTGTCATGCATAAAGCGGCAATTTTCATAGCAAGTCGGAGCTACTTTAGGACAACCTATTTGATGTTTATATTTACATGCCTGCAACAGGACATGCCAACTGCACTCACTAATTGTAGTAAGATACTCTGAGAACATGCATAATGCGTTTCCATGCACAGCCTTCGCCCAGTAAGAACATGAAAGTTTACCTAGCGCTCCAATAACTTGCTTGTTTTAAAATGTTATCATTTTTAAAGATATCACTGAATTAAAACAAAAATTCGAAAGGGATTCGAAAATGCAGCACATAATCACTGATCCGAAGAGTGCTCACCTCTGTTGCCATTTCCCAGTTATACTGCTCTTTTTCCATAGATAGCCAGCCATGGTCGCCTGACTGTCTTGAATGGCTTTAGAGGCCAAGTAGGCAAATTGTGTTTCGATAAAACGCAAAGACAGCGGCATTTAATCGACCTTCCTTCGTCTAAAAGTTGGATAAATGACAGCATATTGTCTGAGTCAGTAACTTAAATCCACGTGAACCAAAAAACTTGAAAAGGCATCGTTATATAGCGCACCAATTTTTAATTAATTTAATTTTCCAGGTTAAAGATGAACACTATCTCTTAAGAAGGACCCAGAAACCTTATATTTGGTTAGATCGTGGTGCACAAAACGGCGTGTAATTAAAAACCAAAATATGTATATAAAACAATTATCGGTTAGACAGGATTCTGGACAACGAGAAATCACTACAGGGGATCACAATTTTGGGCGTTGTTAACACAGCAGGTGCTGACACGATTCAAACTCCCTGAAATCCACAATACCTTTTGAAAGCTGCACGTATATCGCTGAGGAAGTGGGCATTTGATGGTCGGAAAAGAATGCTAGGCAACGGTATGTAGAAGAACGTCACTTTACGGTCGATAGATTGGATCGTGTCATGCATAATGGACGGTAAGTGGAGTTTTACGGGTGGGGCAGCGCACTGGACAGCAAGTTGACGAAATACAGTAAAACACAGATTTTTCAAATTTATCCTGAAAAACGCACCTTACGCGTTGGTACGACAACGGAAATGAGCGCGGTGATTAAAAATAAACAAAAGGTTAATTTCAAAAAATAAAAGAGTTTCAAGAGTGGTTTGAGGTCATGGCAAGCGATTGTTAGTGGCGGTATAGTGTCTGCAAAAACCTGGGAGTGGATCCCAAAACAAAAGCCCGTATGGCATGATCCTCAGGCCCGCATTCCATCAACAGGCACAATGACCTCCTGGTACTACATTCCGTGCTGAGATTTTCACTGGGCTAGGGAATCAGTCACGAGGGGAGTGCGCGGGCGAGCAATTATCACGGTGACAGTGAGCCAGTTTGCCGAGTAATCGTTATACTAGCATCCAGCACGGATGACAAAATCACGACAATTAACGACTCGGACGCACACTGACAAGCCACCGCCGCATTAATTACGACCCCAGAGATGATTGTGAGAACTGTTGATTACAGTCCGCGTGTAGTCCCACGGCTGCCACGTGCTAAAAATACTGCACTCCTTGTGTCATCATCACCTTTATCTGTGACTTACTCTGCTTATCGATTCGAGTGAGTATCCCAAAAGTCAGACAAATAAATTTCTTGTTCCAATGATCGCATCTTCATCTTCTGATCCACACTCTGTAGTCAGTTTAGTGAGGTCCTTCTCCACACAGTTGTCGAATGTTATTTACCCGACGGATTAACTCCCCTCCAGAATCGTGGCCAGCGAGGTAAGCATAAACAGTCACCGGATGCACAACAAATGCCCCATTTATAGAATGAAGTCGCTACTCATCCACAGCACCAAATTCGCCGCAGATAGGTGGTGAAGTACCGGACTAATTTACCTTTGGCAATTTATTCCCATTTTTTTTGACCGAATTGCTTGTTTGAATGTGACGAGAAACGACAGACCTGTACAACTCGCCTTGTTGGCCTGCGTTGCTCTCGCGCTCTGTTGTCAGCTTACTTAACATTCAAAATATCTACATTATTCACTGATCAGTTTTACTGGCTGCCTTTAAATCTAGGGACTCGAGAGATATATAACTCGTTAGTTCGTGAGAACATTACGATTCCCGTCATTGGTGAATCCCGACGTTAACGCAGACTTTATACCTTTCTATGTCATACTGAATAGCATGTAACCTAATATTTGTTTGTGCATATCTATTTTATTTACACTTGCTTTTCTCACGAATTCTGATATTTTACAATCTCTGTCTTATTATGTCCCATCCAGACCAACAACTTTATGCCCCGTCCAGTCCCTTCATGCCATCAATTTTACCTTGCCTGAATTCTGGCAACAAGCTCCAGAACTTTACTTCATCCGCACAGAATCAGCCTATTATTCTGCTAACGTTACCAAGGGTTTGGCGAAATACCACAAACTTGTAAAGGTTCTCCCCGCTAGTGTCATCTCTCAACTTCAGTCCTTGCTGTCTAATCCTCCTGCAGATGCTCCCTACTCCACGTTAAGGGCGGAAAGTCTTCGACATAATCCTATGTCCGACGGACAGCTGTATCACATTGGCCTTCGGAGGTCATTCACCTGGATCTTTGTGGTTGCTGATATCCCTCATGCAATCCTCGGCTCGAAATTTCTTGCCGAATTCGATCTCCTTGCTGACTGCCGACGTGCCCGTCTCCTCGACCGCACAACCGGTCTGTCTGTTCGTGGACTAACTCCCTTTACTGCCCCCACCAACTTATCTGTCTTGGATACGGATATTGCTAGCCCCTTTCGGTAACTGCTTCTTAGTCACCCCAACATAATTAACTCCCTGTTTCGCAGTGGTGAGGTCCAACATGATGTTGTGCGGTATATCTGCACCTCAGGTCCTCCTATGTTTGCTCTGCCGAGACGACTAGCACTGGAGCGTTTTCGGGCCGCGAAGGCGGAGTTTGAATACATACTGCAACTGGGAATAATTCGACCGTCCGAGAGCCCTTGGGCGTCCCCACTACACATGGTGCCCAAGGCGACATCAGGCGACTGGCGACCACGTGGCGACTATCGTGCCTTCAACAGCGCTACCATTCCTGATCGGTACCCCGTGCCTCATCTTCAGGACTTTGCTGGAGCCCTTTTCGACAAAGCGGTTTTCTCGAAGATTGATCTGGTGCGCGCTTTTCATCAGATTCCAGTCGCCCCTGAGGACATCTCTAAAACCGCCGTCACCACACCCTTCGGTCTCTTTGAGTTCATCTGCATGCCATTCGGTCTTCTTAATGCCGCCCAAACGTTCCAGAGGTTCATCGACCATGTCTTACGTGGACTACCCTTTGTGTACGCCTACATTGATGACCTCTTGGTGACCAGCCGGAATGAAGAAGAACACAAAGAGCATCTTGCCTTGGTGTTTGACCGTCTTGACAAGTTTAATGTTGTCATCAACCCCTCCAAGTGCGTGTTGGTTGTGCCTTCACTCGAGTTCCTTGGCCATCAGGTCGACTCTGAAGGTTTGCGTCCCCTCCCCTCCAAGGTTAAAGCAGTTCCTAATTTTCCTCTTCCAACTTCCTCGGCATGGTCAATTTTTACCGTCGGTTCCTACCGAACTGTGCTGACCTCATGCTGCCGCTCACCAACATGCTTTCTGGTCCCAAAGGTCCCCTCGAGCTGACTGGTGCAGCACTGACTGCTTTTGAGAGAATCAAGAATTTGCTTGCCGATGCCACCTTACTCACACATCGCGCTCCCGAAGTTCAGCTGTCTCTGATGGTAGATGCCTCGACTGTAGCCGTAGGTGCAGTCCTTCAGCAACACCTTGCTGGTTGCACTCGAATACTTGCCTTTTTCTCCAAAAAAGCTGTTACCAGATGAGACACGCTACAGTACCTTTGGCCGTTAACTACTTGCCATTTACCTGGCTGTGAAGCATTTCCGACATTTCCTTAAAGGTCGGGACTTCACTGTTTTCAATGACCACAAACCGTTGATTTTCGCACTTCGCCCACACTCTGACATGTACAACCCGAGGGAAATCGCTCACCTGGACTACATCTCCCAATTAACCACCGACATCCGCCACAATGAGGGCACGGAGAATGAGGTGACTGATATGCTGTCCAGACCCTCACTCTCTTCCCTCCAACTCTCACACAGGATCGATCCTTGCGCCATGACGGCTGATCAACAGCGAGTCGGTTGTCCTGGCGACGAGTCTTTTAGTAGTCTCCAACCCAAAGGCGTTCCTATGACCACCGGCACTGGTACCATACTTTGTGACGTCTCAACTCCCTTTCATTGTCCATTCGTGCCCGCCTCGATGCGTCGAGCTGTATTTCAAAATTTGCATGGACTCTCCCCCCTGGGATCCGAGCCTCTCAAAAGCTCCTCACGGAAAGGTTTCTCTGGCCTGGCATGAAAAAGGACGTCAAAGCTTGGACCCGGTCGTGTATGAGTTGCCAGCGCAACAAGGTGCAACGTCACAACAAGTCCCCACCAGGCAGTTCCCCACACCCGACGCACGGTTCAACCATGATGTCGCATGTCCCTTGCCTCCATCCAATGGTTTCACCGACCTCTTTACCTGTGTCGATCGATATACCTGTTGGGCTGAAGCTAGACATTTGCCGAATACGCAGGCGGAAACCATCGTGAAGGCTTTCGTCAGTCGTTGGGTCGCCATGTTCGGTGTTTCATCCACCGTTCAAACTGATCGTGGTGTCCAGTTTGAGTCGGCACTCTTCCAAACGCTACTCAATTTCCTTGGCTGCATACGCATTCGGACGACAGCCTACCACCCAGTTGCCATCGGTATGGTTGAGCGTTTCCATCGCCAACTAAAGACCGCCCTTCCTCTTGCACTTCTCGGCATCCGCGCAGCTCCGAAGTCGGATCTGGGCTGTAGCGCAGCTGAATTGGTTTTCGGCACTATCCTCCGACTGCCAGGCGAGAGAATCATCCCAATCTCTCGTGGAGCCGACGAGACTCCTGACAGCCTTGTCTACCGTTTGCGGCAATTTATGCGCTCGCATTCCCCGGTTCCACCCCAAACTCCAATGACTGAGTCTATGTCGAAAAAGACTTGGACAACTGTACTCACGTGTTCGTCCAGTGTGACCGTGTGCGCCAGCCGCTGGAATCACCATACGAAGGACCGTCCCGCATGTTCGCGCGCAACGCCAAGACTTGCCGGATTCTTCGCGCTGACAAGGAGGACGTGACCAATGTCGATCGGGTCAAGGCTGCTGTTGCAGAGGAGCCGCCGGACCTGTCACAAGGACAAAAATGTGCTGACCTCCTTACCCCTGCCCCTCCATCTTCCCTATTCCTTGCTCAGTCACCCTATTTACCGCCTCGCTCTTCCTCTCCCTTGCCCTTTAATGCTCCGTCCCGCATACTTCTTCTGCCTATGTCTACAGCATCCAACTGCGAAATCATCCTCCACCATAGCACGCAGTCAAACCTCTTCGACTGTACCTCCTGCTTACATCAACCGTAGTGGCCGTCACGCTCATTTTCCCGATCTTTTAGTTACACATTTTTTCTAGATTTATGCATATCCTCCGGCGCCGTATTACGTCGTCCTCCGGTCTAGTAGCGGGGTACTGTGGTGAGGTACCGGACTAATTTACATTTGGCAATTTAGTCCCATTTTCTTTGACCGAATTGCTTGTTTGAATGTGACGAGAAACGACACACTTGTGCAACCCACCTTGCAGGCCTGCGTTGTTCTCGCGCTTTGCCGTCAGGTTACCTAACATTCAGAATATTATTCACTGCTCACTGCTGCCGTTAGGGCTAGGAGCTCGTGAGATATAACTCGTTAGTTCGTGAGAACATTACCATTCTCGTCAGGTATTCACATGTGCCCCGATAATGGCCCAGTCGCGTGAATTCGAGCACTTAATTGACACCATTTCATCTCCGGTGCTGTAAATTGGTGTAATAGCTACGCAGCCGTAATGCTCCTCGCGAGTGTCACTCGAAGCAATGTTTACGAAGATGCTTACCAGCTGGTTAATAACTCTACCCAAACGACATCTGTGCGATGAACAGACGCGACGTGGTGGTTGGACGATGGTCAGGCCTTTGTTGATGGAATGGGTCCTGACACCGGGCCCAAGGGAGGGGAAGAAGTAGAGAGTGCGGTACATTAAACCCAAGTCTAAAATCACTCAAAAGTAAAGTGCGTGACCTATCTCATGAAATGTTGGCCGAAATTTTGAAATGCGTTTTCGATTAGGAAGGATTACTTGGTCGCGATTGTGATACTGATTATCTTAAGGCATACTCTTATAACATTTTGGACTTTCCAGGATGTCGGCTTTTAAATGCACTTCTTTTTAATCTCCTGTAGAAAACGTGCTCGATAAAAATGACTACTTAAGTAGCATGCATTTTTCCTATTGATTTTCGATGGTCTTTGAAATTCAAATATATTTTATAAAAACCACAAACAAAAATACGCTTTCTCTTAGTCAATCAATAGAAAATCACGTCTTTTTTAAATTTTGTATTTAAGGCAAGAGTATGATTAGGTTTTAAAAAAGTTTCTAATTATGAGACTTTTTAAGACCGCGATATGTCCATTCATATAGCATCGTACCTGGCCGTTTACGACTGCTCCACATGAAATGTACAACATGGTCCGCATCCATTGCAAAATTTTATGGACCCTGTATGATATCTATTTAATGACATCGAAAAATATGGGATTTTCTTTACGCGGAACGCATGCACCTTGTAGAGTGTAATCACTAAGCGCTAATGCAAAGAATGATCAGGCTCCAAATTTTTCGGCAATTAGAAAACTTTTTTAAAACCTAATTATACTCCTTCCTTAAGTACAAAATATAAAGAAGACGTAATTCTCTGTTGATTGAATAAAAGAAAGCATATTTTTGTTTATGGTTTCTATAAAATATATTTGAATTTCCAAGACCATCAAAAATCAATGGGAAAACGCAATCTACTTAAGTAGTCATTTTTTACTGAACACGCTTTCTTCAGGAGATTGAAAAGAAGTGCATTTAAAAGCCGACATCCTGCCGAGTCCAAAATGTTATAAGAGTATGCCTTAAGACAATCAGTATCACAACACCGACCAAGTAATCCTTCCTAATCGAAAACGCATTTCAAAATTTCAGCGAACATTTCATGAGATAGGTCACGCACCGTAATTCATGCGCATGTCACTGTGCCTGATTCACCCTGCCGTGAAGCACACGATGGACATCCTCGGTAACGACGGTCGAACTATCTGGGTTGAGGACGAATGATTGAAGCAACTCGCAACTCAAGCGATTATCATGCCTCGTGTGGAATCTGGCTTCTGCAAGCTTGGAAATGTGACCGGATCACTTCGGGTGGATCAAATAACAGATGACGACATTTCTCCACGTCCGAATTGCTTGCACTGATCTCCGCTGCGCCAGATTTAGTAAACGGCTCCGGTGATTTCTTGCCATGGCGCCTGGTGTATGATGGTTGCTAGAAATCCCTGCCAATTAAAGTCTTCCGAGCCTTTTGGCGTAGGATGACAACCCAGCAAATGTATTTATTACCTGCATTTCGGTGTGGTATTAATGAGGCGACTAGAATGTTATTCTGACAGGCAGCGAAAAAAACTGTTCTTTCCACTTTCTTTTAGTTTTCGCCGCCAAACTGGGGTTATTTTGGAGCATGAATTTATAAATTAGAGGATTGGACGTGTTCAAAGAGATCCTCCTTCACATCGTATTTAATTTGTAGGTCAGAGGCGACGCGAGGTCCCCTGGAATGGTTCAAGTAAACGGAGTGACAAAAAGGAGAGCATGATCTCGTTTGACAGGAGAACTGGCAGTGTTCTCCAAATCAAATGAGACGCATTGTCCTCGGGAACTTTTAAGTGATACGATAACCCGGAGGAGAGTTCTCTGTGTGAGTAAACCTTTAATATTTTGCACTTATGCTGAATTGAGGTTACCTATCGGCTTTTTAGGGACTCTATTCGGGCGAAACACGAAGCCCCCTCGTATAGGATGACGGAACGGCTCATGTCCTTGACTTTGACAGCAGGTATTATTTCGGCCAGAAAGCTTAAAAGTGCATTGTGATTGACCCGGGTATTTCGATACACGTGGTGTCATAATAACTCCGTCCGTAGTTTCCGTCTGATTCATAGCCGACTCTTTTCAATGGTCATTTTGACAGTTTCAGCATCAACTGTGTCGGCTGTGACATTATACAATGTCATTCGCAATTGCTCTGAAGTCAGCATCTTAGAAAACAGGCAGCACACTACCTCGTTCTTGAATGTTATTGTATCAGCCAGATTGAAATATGTGTTCTCCAGCGCTGTCGCCTACGGCTCTCCGTTCGCGAACTCCCTCGTCTGTGAACATACGGCTACTGCTTTTGTCTTGGCGAAACCTACAAGGTCTCAAGTGCCAATCCAGACGGGACCGTCGCATCGTCCATTCATGGTGTTCGACTACCTCCAAAGTCTATAGTTCCGTGTCAACTAGAAGTCTGCATAAAACCTATTTTGACTACAAGTCTTTCTCCGCGCGCTTGTGCTCCAAACGAATCTACAGTGCGTGACCAATCTCATGAAATTTTGACTGAAATTCTGAAATGTGTTTTTGATTAGGAAAGATTACTTAGGTGGGGTTGTAATAGTTACATGCCGCGTAATCCTATAGTATTTCGGACTTGACGAAATGTCAGCTCTCGAATGCCCTTTTCTTCGACCTCCTGCATAGAACCTAACCCTCAAAAGATGACTACTTACGCAGCCTGCACTTTTTGCATTGATTTTCGATATTTTTGTAAACTCAAATATTCTTTCCGGAAAACATGCAGAAAAATATGTTTTCTATTATTCACTTGGTAGAAACCCACATTATGTTTACATTTTGTAGCCGAAGAAAGTGCATCGTTAGGTTTTGAATGTTTCCCAATTTCCGGATAATTTTGAGTCTGATTGACCTTTGCATTAGCGTTTAGCGACTTCAGTCTGCAAAATGTATGCTTTCCGCGTAAAGGAAATCACACATTTCGATATGCATTTAAGAAGATACCATACAGAGTTCTTAAAATGGATGCGGAATATATTGTACATTTCATGGGGAGCATAGGTAAACGGACATGTACGAAGCTGTATGTATGGGCACGTACGGTCTTAAAAATCTCATAATAAGAAACAACATTAAAATCAAAAGAACCCCTGCTTCGGATATGAAATGTGGACAAAATGTGGTTTTCTACCAAATGAATAAACGAAAGCATATATTTGTGCATGTTTTCGGTAAAAATAGTTGAATTTACAGAATCATCGAAAACCAGTGTGAAAATTTCATGTTACTTAAGTTTTCACGTTTTACCGAGTGCGCTCTAAGTAGGGAGTCGAAAAGAAGTGCTTTCGAAAGCTAGCATTCTGCCTAGGCCGAAATACTATAGGATTAAGTGGAATGGAAATTAATATTACAACCCCACCCAAGTAATCCTTCCTTATCAAAAACCTTTTCGGTATTTCGACCAACATTTCATGAGATCGGTCACTCACTGTATGCTTAGGTGGGGGTTTGTCGGATCAGCGCTGGGAAGAAATAATGCCGACTCTCATGTCGTGGCGCACTTCCAAATTCGACACGACCAAAGTCTACATAAGAACTGATACCCGTGTGAGTCGCTTGTCACTTACATCACTCTTCTTCCGCCCCTCTCAATCAACAATAGGCACGAGCATCGCTCACCCACACCGCCGCGTTCACTCCCTGCCCACACATTGCC